CTCCACTTCTTTTCTCTCACTGTAACAGGCTAACATAAGAAGAAGAAACTCAGAAGTCTGTATCCTGCAAGTAATGCTGATTCATGTGTTTTGTCTCAGTCATCTATTCGATGATTACATTAAAACTCACCTTGTACCCTTGTTTTGAGGCTATATGAATTTTACTTGTAGCAACTGTTAGGGACTATTGATTGGAAGGAAGTTACAGTTTAGTTAGTTTTCAAGGTAAAAAAATTAACTGAAGCAGAGCAAGTAGTTGCATCATTGTCAACACTAAAAGTTGTGCTATATTATACTGGTGCAATTGAAGTGGTGAGATAAACTAGCATTTTCCTACACTGTTATTGCTATGCTGTTGAATCAACATGAGAGATTTTAGGAAACTAGTTTAGGCAGGGCCTGGAGCTGTATCTTCCATTTTTTAACGTATTCTTTTGTTTTGTTACTTTTCCTTCACTTGTTCTTACTTTTAATTCATCTCTTGAATTAATTGGTATTAAATTTATTGTTTTAAATGTTCTTTTTTTTAAGTATCAGTCCAAATCCAGTAATCAAATGGGAACCCTATATACAAGCAGCGAGTCTGCTCCGATGTGCTGTAATACCAGCATGTCGGAGCAGAGTCGAGTAATCAAGTCTGCTAGACTGTAGTAATTACTGCGCTCCAGCAGACTCCAGTGTCTCATGTATCAGCGTCCCCATGCTTAAAAATGGCACCGGGGCACATTAACTAAAGCTTGTTTGGCAAGCTCTAGTTAAAGTGCCCCCGCTGCCATTTTTAAGCATGGGGATGCTGATCCACAAGACACTCAGGGCACTTTAAAGCGGTCCTCAGAGCCACTCTAATTAAAGCCTCCCCTGCCCCCACATCTGGAGCACATTTATAAATTCCCTTAAAGTCTAAATTTGACATATCTAAGCTCAGTCTCCATGTCTGTTAAATCCTTAACTCATAGTTTCTACCAGGCTGTCATCTTACATGCAGATCCCAAGCCCACAGGCCCCACATTTGTTTGATCTTAGTCAAAAGACCAAGAATATATCCCTTAACTGACAAGCTTTGGTGCATAAAGCACCCTTTGCTTATGCCCAAAAGCTTGTCTAAAATTCTTCCAACTATGCAGTTGGTCCAATAAAATCCTTGCTAGTTGTACATTTCCTACACCCTCAGGACTACAAACTCTCCAACTCTACCCTTTACTGAAATCATTAGTTATAGTGGCAGACTTTTTAATATGTCAAGCAGTCCTGTATGCGCGTTTCTACAGAAAATTGACTTTTTTACAAGATTGTATTAAGATTGAATTGAGGAAGTTTTCTTGTTTTCAAAATGTTTGAGATATTTTAGCAAGGATCCTTGAAGGTGTACTGCTGCTGCCTTTGCTGTATGTGTGCATCTGCTAAAGGATTTCAGTCACCAGTTGTATCAGTAGGGCACATTTCAGGTTCTCTAAATTCATTCCAAAATTATGTTAAATTCATGTGTTGGGGCGTGGTTTGAAATTTCATTGAACTCTCAATCTTTTGTCATATTTGCTATTTAGAATTAAGTCACACCATTTAGAATTAAGGGACACTATTTTACCATTTTCTAGGCTTATTATTTCTCTAAATCTATGCAATACTTTTTAAAATAAATGAATGCCTGTTTTACTAAATGGGGTGATGGTATTGAGTTTTACTATAGGTTTCATTTCTGTTGATGTGCAATTCTTGACTTCAAACAGTGTGAAGAGTGTCTGTGCTGGCAGCATGGAGTCTGTATGGGTTTACTGGAAGATAATGTACCTGAGAAATATACCTGCTATATTTGCCAAGATCCTCCAGGTACAAACATTTCTAAGGTTATAAGAGCCTTCTTATATTCATAGTAATTTCATTAGCTATTTTATGTCCATTACAAAGAATAAACATAAAGATCTTTTCTGTTTTCACTAATGCCTGCTCGTTATAGATGATTCTTTATAGATGATTATAATAAGGGGAGGATAATTTTGTTTTCATTCGTCATGTTTATTCAGCATTGTTTGGATGTTTTTTATCAAACTGAAGCTGAACAGAAGATTAAACTGAATTGTGAGAACCATACCTGTATCGTACATTTTGCCAGTATCACATTTAAGTTTAAAATGCTATCTGACTGGGAAAAATAGATTGAATTTTCTAATTATTTAGTCTTATTTTTTGCACTCTTAAAAGTGTAAGCAAATTTGCTTGAGACCAATAATACTTTCAGATAAGACTATTTGTGGCAACAGTATAGTTTGAACTTATTTGATTTTAAAAAAATTGAAATATTTTTTCCATTTAAGATAGGAAAGATGATAATTATAATAACATTTATATGTCAGTTTGAGGTCTATGACAGTTTACTGTTTTAAATAAACCTCTCTTGAGTGATGTGACTATGACTGTCTAATCAGTAGCAGATCTGGAGACTCCATGAACTTTGATGCCATTTCTGTGTCCTGAAATTAGCCAGCAGGAGACTTTTTGGTGCTCAATAACCATCACTCTCTGTCATCTCCTCTCCTCAAAATATCACCTCTAAAATGCACTTGGGATTTTTATTTTGTTTCAGGACATAAATGCAGAAAAAAAGCCATCAAAATACATTATTTTGTATTGTACACAGTAGCCGCATCTACACATTCTGTTAATTCACAGTAGGCATTAGTTGAATGCAATGTTTTATTGATATATTTACAGTTTTAAAAAATTCTAAATACCTATATATTTTGCCATTTTATTTTGATTTTTTTTTTTTTAAACAGAAATCCAAGTTCCCCCTGCCCCCTTCACTCACCAGGACACAGGTCTAGCTGCAGCTGTCCCTCCTGGTGTGGTGCTGAGCAGCCCTGATACATCGTTGCCCCTTACTCCCAACCTGCAGTCTCCCATGCCCCCCAGCCCTGCTGATTCCCCTCATTCCCAACCTGCAGCCCCCATCCCCGCTGGTGCTCCACACTTCCAAGCCATAACCCTCCCAACCCTGCTGGTGTGCCCCTCACTCACTCCTGATCTGCTGCCCCCCACCCCCAGGCCCCAGCTCCCAAGTGTGTGGGACAGGGAGCAAGCCAAACTAGGCAATGCCATAGGCAACGTGTCAAGAAGAATAGGGGGGGGCATTTGGCCCCCCCTGACTTGTGTTGACTTGTGTGCCCACAGTGGGCATGGGGCTGCAACCAGACCAGGCTGGCACAGGCAGGAGACACCTTCATGGCCCACCTTCATGGCCCAGCACAGGAGCATGGAGTGGGACAGTAGGACTCATTGCTGCTGCTGCCACCGGAACACCTGCAGCAGCTGTCCTGCCAGCAATGTGAGGAGTAGTGGATCAGGGTGGGGGTGCTGCACTGCCCTTGTTACTCTCACCTCCTCCCATCACCAGTTGCTTGCACGCCAGGCCACAACGCTATCCTGCCTCCATGGCATGGCCACAGCCACTCCCCTTAGGCTGCAGTTTAGCCCCAGAGGGAAGGTGGGGTGAAGGGCAATGTGGGTAGGGGATTGGTGGCAGTGGCAAGGCCATGGTGGTGAGGTACAGTTGCTGCCTGGTGTGTGAGTGGCTGGCAGTGGGAGGAGGTAAGGACAACACAGTTCCCCCCCATCCCCATCCATTACTCCTTGCACTGCTGGTGGTGCAGCTGGCACAGGGGTCATGGCGGCAACAAGTCTTGCTGCCCTGGTCCACCCTCCTACACTGGGTCCTGCCCACTGGGCTGCGGAGAAGGGTCCCACCTGTACCAGTCAGGCCAGGCTGCAGCCCTGTGCCGGCTGTGGGCACACATGGACGTGGTGCCCCTGCCTGTGATCAGCCTCCCCCTACTCCTCCCAGCTCCAAGCAGCCCCTTGAAGGCTGAAACCTGCCATTTCCTAGGTCTTTCCTCCTTTAAAGGAGAAAATACGCATTTTTCCACGGCAAACAGAAAACCCAGATCCCTGATTATAACTTTGACTTAAATACAGTAAAAGTTCTGTTAACTGGCATCTTACAAGCCGGCATGCTCAATTAACTGGCAAGCTGGCTTGTAAGATAAAGTGCAACCGGCAGTGCCCATTGTAGCACTTCTGGTTTCTCCGAGCCCCCACAGCCTGGGGCAAAGCAGCCTGCACTGCCGAGCCCCCACAGCCTGGGGGCATAATAGGCTGCGCGGGGCACACCTCCCTGTCCTGCAGGGCCCGCGAGAGGGGCGGCGATGCCACGGGATGGGGCAGGAGAAGCGGCAGCCTGGGCCGCTCAATTAACCGGCATATTTTGTTATCCCGCATCCCCCAGGAATGGGGGATGCAGGATAACAGCTTTTACTCTAATCTATTCTAATCTTGCACATTTTATTTATTTTTCCTGAAGAAAGAGTGGATTTTCTATGGAATGGTAACTTTAAAACCATTTTATACATAACCTATATCCTTTGGCATCCTTTTGTCTATGGGAGATGATGGATATTGCAGCCTATGATGTAGATGGTTTGCAGTGTCTCGTGACTGAATAGTGCAGTCTGGGATTTGCATACCTATATCTTAAATTTGCCATTTTTGAACAAGAGAAGATAAAAGTATTTTTATACATATTAAGTAATTAGTTTTCCATTTATTCATTTGGGTTTCTTGATGTTTGCATGTTTATTACGTTGGAAGACAGTCAATAGTGAATCTATTTGCCAGGTGCATTTTCTTAACTGTGGTTTTTTTCACATCTGCAAGACCTCCCATTCTTATAATTAGACACTTCAGAAGTATTTCTGAAATGTTAGAACATTCTGTTTCTTATGTTGTTTAATCTTTGTATAAATTGCCATGGCAGTGTGTGCAAGAAATTGTGAATTTACTGGCTTCTGGACCCTACCAACCTTGTTTCTCCTCTGAAGAGATTCCTTATCGAGAGACTTCTCTGTATACCTTAGTTCAGGGGTGGGCAAAATATGGCCTGCGGGCCGGATGCGGCCTGCGAGCTGATTGGAACCAACGTGCAGGTGGGCATCCACCAATTAATTGTATTGAGCCTCACTGAACTCTGCATGGGGCAGAGTCCTGCCTGGGGCAGCGTGTGCTGCATTTGCAGCTTTTTCCACTGGAGGGTGCCAGCCCCAGCCAGCAGGCACAGCTTCCAGGTAGGACTGCTACTGCAGTGCTGCAGCCACCCAGGGAACTGGTAGGCTGCCCTGGCCTCCAGTGACGACTCCTGTCCCTGCTGCAGTGCTTTGGGTAGCAGGTAGGAAGGGGAAGCTGCAGCAGCTCACTTTAGTCGCGCTCATGCCTGGCTGGGCGAGGAAATGTGTGGATGAAGTAGGGGTTGTGAAGGAACTTGGTTGCTCACAAAGCCCTGCCGGACAGGCATGGCACAGGCAGGTGGGGCAGCAGCAGGAGCCAGCTTGATGCCACCCTACTCAAACCATACCCTTCCCCCACTATACCCCCACACACCTAACAGTCCCCCACACCTCCTCCCACACATCTTACACATACACCCACACCCCTACACACTTTCCACACCCCACCTGCACCATACCCATGCACCTACACCCCCCCCAATCACACACACACCCCACATACACCTCCCACCCCTTCGCACAATATACAAGCAAACCCCCCCAGCAAAAAGGAGTACTCCTTGGGCTAGAGGAGAGACTTCCCGTGGCAAAGGCAGGGTGTTTGGGGGTGGGACTTCTCATCCCAAGATGGCAACTGGGGGCAGGGCACCTGTCAAGGGGTGGGGCTACCATTGTGGCTCTCAACACCTCACCAAAACACGTTAAGTGGTCCTCCAGCCAAAATAATTGGCCAGCCCTGCCTTAATTGCACAGAGTGATCAGGGCTTGTTACAAACATGCTATCTTCTTCTAAGTTCCCTGGCTCATTGAGATTACGTGCTAGGTAGTAGTGAGCTCAGTTGAAAGTAATACCATCTACCCTGTCCTTGGAAATTCATATTGACATGATATAAAAGCTGCTTTGCCTTTGTTCTGTAATACATGTCCTTGTGGTCGAGGCACAGGACAAACATGTAAAGCACTTGAAATATTTCTTTTGCTAAAACATTTCTAATATGGACAAATGTACTGTCCCCTTTCAGCTCCAGCTCCTCCAAGTGTACTAGAGCCAGTGTTGTTGCACTGATCCACAGCTAGGGGCCAAGTAAGCAGGTATCCCAGCACCTGAGGTGACATCAGAGTGAAAATGCCAGGGCCGCCTTATTATTTCATTTCCTTCACAAGCGCAGCCCTCACTTCCCAGGCCTGTGCCTTCTATTCTGTGCTTCTGGAGACTGCAGGGTTGGTCACTTCCACATACATTACCTTTCTAGTAGGCCTGTGTGAAGCGGCTAGCATTTGCTTCGAATTCGGATTTGACCAGTTCAGGGGGACAGTGATTCGATGATTCGAATCACTGTCCTGATTTGATTCCGCCAAATCTGATTCAGAGATTTGACTGCTGTTGTATGGGGTGCTCTACAGAAGCCCTCCAACCCCCCCCACCGTCCCAGCCACCACATGGCTGCCCCCCCCCACCCCCCCCCCCCC